AAGGAAGGAAGGAAGGAAGGAAGGAAGGAAGGAAGGAAGGAAGGAAGGAAGGAAGGAAGGAAGGAAGGAAGGAAGGAAGGAAGGAAGGAAGGAAGGAAAAAGGAGAGAAGGAGAGAGAGAAAGAGAGAAAGAAAGAGAAAGGAAAGAGAGAAAGGAAGAAAACCCCTTCGCTGTATGAAATATTTTCTCTGTCTTTGACCTAATGACTCATACCAAGGCTCAGCACCATGACGTGGGAAGAGAAAAGGCACATCCATTAACAGATAAGTTAAACAGAGACGAGCTGCTGGTTGTGCTGGTGGAGTTTAATAAGCCCAAAGGTAAAAGGTGGAAAACTGAGGGTATTTTTGCAATACTTCCCTGCTGATAAAAGCTAAAAATACAAAAAAAAAAAAAAAAAAAAAAAAAACCCATACCACAACAGCTGTGTAGGTAGGAAGCAGGTACATAGGGTGAGGGTGTTGAGGCAGGGAACAGAGAGGTTGATTTTGTAGAGAAGGAATAAAGTGGATCTTTATGCTTTGAATATGGTGGCAGTAAATATTAGACATCCCACCTAGAGAAGAAGTTTGACTGGAAGAAAGAAGGTGGAGGATGCTGATACCTTAATGATGCAGGTTCAAAGGTACAACACTGAATGGTAACATGAATTATGTTTTACAAAGCTCTGTTTTAGATGTAGTAACTTAAATTTAAAGAAGATCATATAAATTCCTTTGTGATGAGATAACATGCCAATAATGGTAGTGTACAGATGGTGCAGCTTATTTACTAACTGTATTTTTTACGTCAGTTGGCAATAACGTTTTAGTAGTACTTAAATATGCCTTTAAGTGCCTCACTCTAGGCATCTGTGCTTGAAGATTCAGGCCATAGTTGCTTTGAGCTGTTTCAGCTTCTGTTTTCTTAAAAACCATATATTATAACTGTAAAAATACACCCTAGCATTCAGTGAGATGTGAAGCATTCAGTGAGATCAAATCAAATCAGATTTTGGAATTAAAACACTAAAATAAAGAACTAATATTAATTATTATAGGATACTTCCTCTCTGTTTGAAATTAGCTAAAGTCAGAGCTTACAAATTTCATAAATGGGCAGACATCACATCCAGCATTCTCAGGGACTTTATTATTTTTTTTTTAATATCTTCTAGAATAAACAGTGTACTACTTGAGGGTTAACCTGTGTTTTGGCAAATAATCTCATGCCAAAAGATTTCTTCATTTCTTAAAATGTTACTTCACCACTTAACATGTCTGTGCCGAACACGTTCTAATCCATACTGGTAATATGAAATTTGGATCCAAACATGTATTGAAAAAGCGCATTAGAACATAATGCCATGAAAACATTGAATTTTAGTTTAATTCCTCCAAAATAGACTAGTTACTGCTTACAGGTTTGATGTTCTCTTTTGAACACTTTGCTAAACTGGATCTTGAATTTAAAATGTAGCAGTATTCTACCTAAAACACATCAAAGTTGCCTTGAGATTTGAGAATTGCAGTTTTTCTGGTCTTTTCTTCTTTAGAGCAAGTTTTGCTCTTGAATGCTATGCTAGAGAAAATAATAGGTGACTTCGAACGACTTGACCCGTTCCTGGAGCAGTGTGAAGTGTTCCTGCTGCATGTTGACTTTGAATCCCTTTGGGCTGTTTGTCTTCATGCTTTTTTCTGAGTTCGTGTAATTGCACGTGGTCTCTTGCAGGTCCTTTCCCATACCCATAAAGGGCTCTTGGTGGATGGGACACCTAGTACTTCACCTTCAGATTGCAGAGTGAAGCACTGGTTAGATAAACAGCAAGTGTCTGCCTAGGAGAGATGTGGCTGCTGGCGGGGTTTTTTTGTCGCTAGCTTCTGACATTGCCCGTTTAAGACTTTGATTTACTCTTTTCTCACAAAATACACGAGAATCTTCATCTTCTTTGTTCCTTACTGTCCTTTTTGACTGGCAGAGTGAGGCCTCTGCTACTTCTTACTTGCAAAGCATAAAGTACAGATTGTGTATGCAGTCATCTCGCCAATTCTCTTTTGAAGTAACAGAGACCAAAATGTATCAATTTAAATTTGTATTAATTTTTTACACCCCCAAACTCTGAATGTAGGCATTTTTAGCTTGGTCTCCTAGGAAAGGGTATTTCTGCAATCATTTTCCACTGTCTAACCACCTTCTATTAATAACTTTGGAAGCCTTTGGGTAGATCACAATCACTTCAGCCAGGATAGACATCTCACTTATGAAGCTCCTGAGTTTCACAAATACAGATGAGCAGGCAGGAGGTGTCCTCCTGCTGTGCTGCCAAGGCTGCTTCTCGAGGTCAACCACAACTGCTGGAAATGAGAGGAAGAGGTCTTATGAAGACCTCAGCTGGGGAAGAGGCTGGGAGAACATGGGCGCTGTCAGGTGGCAAAGGTCTAGGCAGGAAACACCCATCCATGAGAAACTACCTTTCATTTGTCCATCTTTGGTGGCAGGAAGCACCCATCCATGAGAAGGTACCTTTCGTTTGTCCGTCTTTGGTGCAGCTCCTCACAGGTGCCCTTCTTGATGTCCTTCTAGGACTCAGCACCTCCAGGCCGTGGCCAAGAATGCACAGAGCAAACCTGCCCTGCAGTTCCCCCTCTGGCATTGCTACTGCAGCTCTTCCTACAGTCTCCCGAGTGCCGTGATCGACCTTGTCCCTTGTCTTTGGCCTCAACTGCCACAAACAGCGTCTTTGAGGAAATGCTCATGCCCTCGTGTCGCTGGGACCTTGTCTTGTTCAGCCAGTCGCTCCTTTTGCTTCTCTCTGCAGCACATCCAGGCTGAGTTGTGCTGTATCCTGCCAACACCCGCCGGGTGCCTGTCCCCAAGCCCCCTTTCCCCTGCAGAGCTGCAGTGGGATGAAAGCTGCCTGGTTTCCTTGAGAATATATGGATATATACAGACAGTACAGCAGGTGTAGACAGACTTGAATCATGGTTGTGCTTTGGATAATAGCTGCTGTAAGTGTGGTCATGCGTGTTGTAAACAGCTCGTCCTAGTGTCACAAAGGCATTACAAAAACACACTTGTACTGCTACTGATCCAAAGACTAAGAACACCCCTTCAAGACTAACTGGTTGCACCTATATCATTTTGTAAATCCAATTTCCAATTTTTTTTTTTAAATGTGGTGCAAAGGAACTGGGGTAATTCCGGTTTGTCTTGGCTTTATTTTATTGAGCATCTTTTTTTTATGTTTAGCTTTTAGCATAGATGCATTATACTGCAGTGACATGTTTTCGGTTTGGCTGAAGGCAAATGTTTGCTTTGTGGTGTTTGGACCCAGTCCTGCAAAGTTCACACGTTCAGAAGTTCAGCTCTTTGGAAATGGCACTTTGGGCATAACCACTTTCAGCAGCTGTTACGTTTCTAGTGCATCCTCGGAGCTGAGAGTGAACCTAAGCCAGGAAAGACCCTTTTCCAGCCACCAATATCTACCAGCAGCTTTTCATCATGTGCACCTTTGATTATAAGGGCGCCTCCAGTTATACACTTGTTCTGCTGCTGCTTTATTTCCTATCTCAGCAATTAAGTGATAGGCTAGTCACATTAGAAATGTGTCTACAGCTATTTACAGAAAGATGGTAGAGATGTAAAAAATAAAAAGTCTTTTTAGGGTCAAGTCAGTTTATATTTTGCTTAAGCAGATACTAAATATCTTCTCTCTACATCATTTATATTGCTAATAAGTTGTAGGGTTTTGTACTGCATCACATTGCTCTCTTGGAAATAGATTCAAAGATCTAAAAGTACAAAATCAAATTTTTTAAAAACAGTGAAAAATAATTTTCTCCCATAATCTCCAAAGTGTCATGAAGCTATTAGCGCCAAATTGAATTTTGAGGCATGTAATTTAACATGAAATGTGGACAAGGTGAGGGAATCAAAAGCAAAGGCTGGTGCCTGTGCCCCTTAGTGGTTCTGCTGGGCAGGGCCCACGGTTCCGCGAGGGCCTGCGTCGCGTCGCGTCCGTCGTGTCATGTCCCTCGTGTAGTGTCCATTGCGTCATGTCCGTCACATCGTGTCCATCGTGTTGTGTCCATCGTGTCGTGTCCGTCGTGTTGTGTCCATGTCCGTCGCGTCATGTCCGTCGCGTGGCGCCCTCCATTTCCTTGTCGAGGTGCGGCCTGTGCGGCGGGGCCGCGCGCTCCGGGGGCAGACAGTCCCTTGAGCACGTCCCGGGCCTGGCGGGTTGTTGGCCCTCGTCATGGCTGCCCCGTTGCCGTGGCGGCCGCGCTGCCGTGGGGGATACAGGGAATACAGTCATAGGAGGGTCATATCTCGTTCTGTCGCTGTGAGTTGCCATCTGTCAATGGCCTGCTCGTGATGGAGCCCAAAAGCCAGTCTAAGAACAGCAGCGGCCGGCTGAGGGTGATTGCTCAAATAAAGTGGCCCTGGCTGAGGATGCAAATAAGTCGGGGCTCCTGTGAAGCACAAGCCTTGAGTCTTTCCCCCAGCAGTAGCAGCTTTGCTTCCAGCACGTTCTGAATCATCCCCGAAATCCTCATCGACGAGGGCGAATGACCAAGCGTCATCTTTCGTATTCAGTTCACAGATGCAATCTGTGCTTTCCCGTTCGGTCCTAGCTCATCCCGGTGTGTTGGTTCAGAGCTGTGATGTTGCATCTGCTTTCACAGATTGTTATGAAATCTAAATACTCTTCAGCAGAATTAAATAGCGTGTTTGGGAAGCTCCCAGGGAAGGTGCCATGCACACACAAGGGCAGTTCGGTGACGTATTCATCAGTTTGCTCTACTTAGCAGCAATATCGGGATCATGTTCAGGTTTGGGGGAAGATCCAAAGCGCGATTGAAGAGCCCTCAGAATCATGACCTCTTTATACCTCTACACTGCAAAGATTTGGTGGAATCTATAGTTTAGGAAGGGGGTCAAAAAGATTAGCCCAGTTGTAAATAATGTATTTATTGGTTGATTTTTCCAGATCCTGACATTGATGCTGCCACTGCCATGATGCTTTTGAATACTCCCCCTGAGATACAAGCAGGTTGTGAGTAGATATTTCTATAGCATATAGCAACATAGACATGTAAAGTTAATATTCTCTTTTCTAAATATAGTGTACCAGATAAAAAGGATTTAATAAAGAAATATAACTTCCCTTGTAGAGCCTTATACTTACTTGACCCTTACATGAAGTATAATTTTGTGGTTCATTGTTACATGAAAAATAGTAATCCATAATCTCTAATGTTAAAAGAGAGGTTATTGTTATTCATGACGTACATATAGCTGAGGAATGTACAATTATCCGCACTGATAGAAACACCCGGGGCAACAGCTAGAGAGAGAAAGAGAGCAAGAGAGCGAAGGGTACATGGCATATGGTTTTGTTTTCATTTTGTTTTGATTTGACTCCCATCGTGTGAGTTACCGCAGCCATCTGGATACTTTCCATTCGCTTGGGCACTGTTTCAACTCCCTCCTTGCACATATCCTGCCCATTTCGCTGCTTTGCTCTATCCAGTTCCAGGCACTAGGCAGGCTCTGGGCGCTGAGGAAAAGTCTGACTTCCCGCCAGGAGGATCCTTCCTGTTCTGCGACCAGACCCGAGGTCTGGATGCTGCGTGTTAGCAGAACCCTTAAAAGGCATTTGCCCCAGCGAACTGGGCTGTGCAAACAGTGAAGGGATCACCCTGCCCCAGAGAGCTTGCAGCGAAGGCATTAGAGGAATCCATAAAGGCATACAACCACACAAAAGCACCCAGAACAAGCAAACAAACACATCACTGGTCAGCAGGCGTGGTAGTAATGCCAAGCGACAGGCAGCCTGCAGAAAATAAAGGCAGAAGTTAAAATAGAAGCCACTACGGAGCCTGTCCTAGCATCTCTGCTATTGTTCTGGCTCATGCAACCAAATCCGAATCCTGAGCGAAGCCCTGATTCGTGCTTTGATGCTCTGCCTGGGGAGAGGAGTCGATCACAATCAAAGCGTTTGCCATGCAGCCGGGGAGAGCTGTTTTCCGGCTGCTTGTGACCCCACTGGGCAGTGTCTGTCGGGCTGCTCCGATGGCGGAGGCACTCCAGGAGCGGCCTCTTCCCCAGGGTGAGCGCCCCTACCCTCCGCTCGCCCGCGCCTTGCCCCGGCATTGCGTGCAGTGGAAGGGGGAGGAGGAACTCGCTGTGTGTAGGGAGGAGGAAAAGACACATTTTACTGGGGGGGGAGAAGGTAGGGTTGGTAGGAAGGAAAAAAAGAGATTTTGAGAGGAATAGAATTTTAAAGAAGTTAAGATTTGTAGAGCAAAGAAAAGAATGGGGGGGTAGAATGAAGGTGCATCAGTAAAAGGCCGAGAGGATATGTGAGCAGAAAAAAGGAAGAAAGTATATTTACAGAAGGGGATGGAGAAAACTTAGAATTATCCAAACTCCTGGGGAGGTTGGAGAGCAGGAGAAGGATGCAGCTATGGCAGACAGGAGATAGTAAGCCGCATATACTAAACCCATACTGCAGATTTTGTCAGACATGCATGTTTCTAGCAGTGCAGCTGTTTGTGTGGAAGTGGTTTGAGGACTTGGGCACTTGCATTTCATAGAGAGCAGAGCTGTGGAAGGGTAAATGGCTGATAGCTATTTTATTTTCTAGAGATGGTTCTAAGGAGAGAAATGGTAACTTTTTAAGTGTGGCATGTGCCTCCTCCCATGCCACGTTCCTGGTAGGTTATTTTGTCAGGATAAAGGGACTGGAGGGAGATAAAGCAGAAGGATTGACCCTTCATTCACATTGATGTCAGCAAGTAATGAGACCTTCCTGTGCACCTTTAAGCTGAAATGTGGTGCCTACTCAGAAGTTCCTGAAACCTTCCAAATATTCAACAGAATTGGCTGGGACAAGGAAGAGAGAACAGAAATGTTAATCTTGTCCTCCTTGGTCCTTGAAATATCAAAGGAGAAATATTTTTATCTGCAGGCCATAGATTTTTGAGGAAGTAAAACTGCTCATCCTGTGTATCATAACAGGCTCTAGCTTTTTCAGTATGTTAGGAAACTCTTAGACAACTTAGAGGAAATTAATTACTGCTGCACATTAAGAAACAACTGCATGAAAAATAACTTTTGAAATTCATTGTCAAATAAACAGTAAATGGGCTATAAGAAATCCATTGTGATTCTGAGCACCGTACGGAAACACAATTCACTGTGTTCAGCTCTGCCACTGACCACAGCACTCTGTAAGTCAAGCTGTGAACCGTTGTTGAAGTTAAAATGCTGGTACTGTTTGATCTGGAGAAGATGCGGGTTGTGTCTGTGGTATCAGCCGGTGGTGTGGGGTCATGCCACCCCAGCCCCAAAGAGCCCCTTCTCTTGGAGGCCGAACCTGCCGGTTGGACCACGGGTGTCAGTGAGCGGCTGAACAGGCCCTCCTGGCAGCTGCATCCGTTTGGCCGCCCCTGCCCGTTGCCGTGACAACGGCGTCGGTGCCATGGAGGCAGAGCCGGAGACGGGTTTCCCACCAGGACAAGACGGCAAGGCCAGAAGTTGAGAGTTCCGGTCCATTAAGGCGTTCCCCCCAGACACTGAAGCATCCTTGTGAAACACGATCCTGCAGCGAGCTACAGCCATCATTGAAGTCTTATTAAAATTTGCTCTTTTAATGTAGCTGCTCAGAAAGGATTCTCAACTTAGTAGCTTTAGAAAATCTAGAGTAAACTATTGCTTTTTTTCCAGACCAGTTGGTTAATTAACTTTACCTCTTTAAATGACCATTTGTAACTCCATGTTCATGTGTCGAACAGCACAAATAACCACATATGAATTTTAAAATCAGCTTTTGCTTTTATATGAAGTCATGAAATGGTGTCTGAGCCTTCACAGATTCTGCTTACCACTTGCCCCCAGTCACGCTGTGCTTTAACTTTCACGCAAAACCATGGAAAATAGAATAGTAAAGCACCAGTACTTGGATTAATTTGTGTTTGTGGAGGATTTACTTTGTAGACTCATGAAACTGAGTGTTGATGTTGGCATTAGAAGGTTGGAAACAATGCTATTTTAGTTGCATTGTTGACATCAGAAATCGATTTCTGAAATATTGACACTTTGTGCTAATGTCACAGGCTAAATATTTTTAGATTATAGTTAAAGGCAGAAGTTCAAAATAGCCCGTTTTGTGCAGGACTCTCTAGAAATGTACAATCTAGCTGATACCAAGAATAAAGCCTGGATTGGGATATGCTAAGAAGGGGCCTTTAGAAACATAGTCTTTCTACTTTATGTATTTCACTTTGTGTATGTTACTGCTTCGTTGAATTTTGTATGGTTTGATTCTGCTTAAAAAAAAATATTTTCTGTAGCAGCAACAAGGTGTGAATACTTTGGAAATTGATAGTAGCCAGTACACGAATATTCATTCTGAAATATGTGGCTTGTATTGAGAGTTACATTTTGACGTGTAGTGGGTTGGATACTGCCTGGGCCATCTTGAGCAAGTTATGTCAAATTTCTGGGTCTTTTTTCTCTGATGAGAATCCAGTTCACAGGATAGAAAAGGAAAATGAGATAGTGAACAAATGTTCAAGCTCAACTTGGAACTATAGACCACAAACTAAATGAAGCCTATGGATTATTTTGTATAAAAATGTTGAGATTTTTAACGGGCGAGATCCTTTCGTGCTTGAAAGGAAAGTTGGCCCTGTGGAAGGACCGTTGAGGAGGGGGTGCAGGGGGTTATTGCTGGGGCTGTTGCTAGAGAAACAGTGCCCTGCTCAAAGTACGACCCTGGAAATCCGCCTTGAATCCAAGAAGGGCCCGAGTCAGCGATCTCACACTTAGCTTTGAATTCATGAGCGGTTCCTTGCCCGTTGCTATATAATTTGGAAATTGCACATTAATGTAAGTAGGCTGCTCAAGTGGAAGTTTAATACTGCAAGCGTTATTTGCAGAAAAGGGTTGGGAAGGAACCAGGAAACTCTAGGAGGACCTCGGCAGCTCTGAAAACTTATCTTCCTTTCACGTTACCACTTACCAAAGCAGCTGGGCAGTATCCTTTGGGATCGTTTGCAAGAGGAGTTTTTATGTGGGAGACTGAAATGCTGCGGGAAAGATGTTTGGGAGATCTGAGAATACACTGCAGGGCACTTCTTTAAAAACAGGCTTTGCAAGGGTGAGATCAACCTCTCATTTTCCTTTCTGGAAATCATTTCTAATCCATGTCTCAAGGCATGCATAACCCAGAACAGATACATGTGATGTGTTTTACATTTTGTGGGAGAAGAAGAAAGTCCTGAGGGAGCCCTACTGTTACTATAACTCTGTATTTCTAAAATCATGCCCCTGTGCAATTTATTTTTTAAGCTAAAGGGAGTGGGTTGTGTAAATAGAAGGCATATTTACAAGAATGAAGATATAAAATTGCCCCAAAAATGGACAGAATTTCTGCAAGTAAGGTCAAAAAGAAAATGCTACTATCTCGCTACGTTTTTACTGTGTGTGAAGCCTGATAACTACGCTGTTCCGTTTGTACCACTTAAAAACAAATTGCTTATTAGAGCTGGTTAGGAAGCTTCCAACCTAATTCTTTAGAGCTGAAAATGGGAGTTGGATGATTTTGAAATATTTCATAAAGCTACTTTTTGTAATGATTTATGTCAAAATTAAAATTGATAAAAAGATGGTTTAGTATCGTCTTTTGCAGTTGTTTTATTTTTTAGGGAATGGCATCCTCAACTTTCATGTTTTTTTTTAATTTTGGTTTTCAGTCTTATTAAAGTGAAAAATTGAGGTTGGAAAGAAAACTCAGAGAGTTTGGGAAGAAAACGTACCGTCCTGAAATACTTCTGCTTTCTGCCACCTGTTCCTGGCATTTTGATTTAGTAGGAAGACTTTTTTTTGCTTGTTTTGGTGGTGTCTTTAGGTTTTTGTTTTGGTTATTTTAATTCAATATTGTAAACCAAGACATTTCACATATGATTTCTCGAAAATAAGCAATGTTCTTCTACATTTCTGGCGTCACAGGGTTGTTATCTGTGATTTTTTACTTATTATGAAAAA